TATATGTAGTAACTATTTTCTGAACTCTGAAGTGTTTCCTCCATTCCATCCTTCCGGTCTCTGCCCGCTCATTCAATAACATAATACACGGTATGGTATTAGTCGTACATTGACAACTGGGTGGTGAAGTCGTGAAAACCAGTATTGGCTACAAACGAGAAATTTATTGATTTTGAATACCATTATCGACATTTCTGTGTGTACTCTTTTTAATGATTTGCACACTTTATATTGTCGATTTAAGCATGTAATCTTAAATGGTTTGCAGAAAAATAGGGAAAAAATATGAAAACATTTATATCGTTTATTGATTATTGTATTGAGAGGAACAATCAAATTTATATTCGTTGTTAATTTGTTAGAACCTTTCGGATTTTTAGCTTTTATTATCTTAATAATTTCAATTTGAAAACTAGCGGATCACATCGCAATAGAAAAGCTGGACTTGTGCTAATGTAGATATTAACAAATTCATTTAAAATGGCATTGCACTGCCAGCTTTATACATTTTTCTGCTTTCTGCTTTAGAATATCTTTTTCACAAAAACTTCAAAATGTCTCCGCATTTAATTCCATAAAGGTGAGAGGAACCACCCCACCCTCGCTAAAAGGTTGAATATACAAATTAAATAAACTGACTGCAAATGGGCGGAATGTTAGAGGGAAAAGGAGGGTCGAGGGGGGAGGGGCTGGGAGATCGTTCTTCAGGATTGAGCTAGTGGTATTTTCCATGAGCTTGCAAATAGTATTGTTTTCTGAGCCTTTATATCTGGCATAGGTTCAAGTAAGATTTTCTTCTGTTACTAAGGAAAGAAAAACTGTGTGGAATATTTTAAGAATTCAGGAACCGGAACCATAGCATTACTAACATAAAGGGCGTTATATTTGCTTTATATAATCTCCTTGCTGCTCTTTCCTTGAGATTCACAGAAGAAAACACTTTACAAAATTAAAATTATTAACTTGTTATACATCGAATTTTGAAATCTAGTAAACAAAGGCTATTATTAATATTTACAAAATAGGTGCTTAAACTGCTGACAAGTTTTACACAAGGGGTCCAAGAAATCAAGTTTTCTCAGGAATGTTTTAAGAATTTCTTAACAAGCGATCGTTGAAAATTCTACACCAGTTATACTTGGAATTTCTAAACATTTGGGATTCTAAGAATTTCTAAATAAGGAATTCTTGGAATTTCTAAACATGTGATCCTTAGAATTTCTACACAAAGGATTCTTTGAAATTCTAAACAAGGGATTCTTGGAACTTATAAACAAAGGATTCTTGAATTTCTGAAAAAGGGATTCTTGACATTTTGGCAGAATGGATCCTGGGAATTTCTAAACATGGGATCCTTAGAATTTCTACACAAAGGATTCTTGGAATTTCTAAACAAGGGATTCTTATACACAAAGGATCCTTGAATTTCTGAACAAGGGATTCTTGACATTTTGGCAGAATGGAACCTGGGAATTTCTAAACATGGGATCCTTAGAATTTCTACACAAAGGATTCTTGGAATTTCTAAACAAGGGATTCTTGGAACTTATAAACAAAGGATCCTTGAATTTCTGAACAAGGGATTCTTGACATTTTGGCAGAATGGATCCTGGGAATTTCTAAACATGGGATCCTTCGAATTTCTACACAAAGGATTCCTGGAATTTCTAAACAAGGGATTCTTGGAACTTATACACAAAGGATCCTTGAATTTCTGAACAAGGGATTTTTGACATTTTGGCAGAATGGATCCTGGGAATTTCTATACAAGGGATCCTTCGAATTTCTACACAAAGGATTCTTGGAATTTCTAAACAAGGGGTTTTTGGAACTTATACACAAAGGATCCTTGAATTTCTGAACAAGGGATTTTTGACATTTTGGCAGAATGGATCCTGGGAATTTCTATACAAGGGATCCTTCCTAGGAATTGTTACACAAGATTTTAACAAACAGTCTCAAGAAGGTTTATTCAGAGGACCTAAGAAAAAATTTGAAAGAGGTGGTTGGTCTCTTGAAATGGGTTTTTGTTCCACTAATTATTTTCCTTGACTGTATTTATACTTAATCGGAAGGTTTAGTACAGAAATATTTTCGAGGGGGCAAAGAAACCTAACATTTTTAAATTAACTGCACACTATTGTTGAAAAATAAGGTTTTTACGTTAAAAATAGCTGTACATTCGACATACATTCAATAAAAATATTTTTATTGCAAACATTAAAGAATTTCCCCTAAAATCACTTATATTTCATAAATAAGGATAACTTTTTGATAAACTGTCCTCCCTACAACATCGTACATCCTAGAAAATCAAGGAAGTACATTGAAATGATTTTGTTGTACAGTGAATTTTGAATACTTAAATAAAGAGGAAGTTGAGAACTTTTTTCAGAAGATATTTCATCAACAACATATGTATGTTTTATATCGTAAAGAAATTCTTTATTACGACAACTTGTATATCAGTTTCAGTACATTTCAGTACAAATGTCAAATTAAAAATTAGATTATAGCGCGATGTCTGCGCAACACTTTTGCCAGATAACTTTTTTTGGAATTAAAAACGTCGATTATTTCCTTATCCGATCCCACAAATTTTTTTTTTCGAAAATATATAAAAGAATTACATTTTAATTGTAAAGTCAAGCATTTATTAATTTTAAAAATTCTAAAGTAAAGATTTTGGCCCTCAATCAAAAGAACTAAAAATACTTATTTGACACCCCTGGCATAATATATGTAGTTATACCCCGAATAAAAAGTACTAGACTACAGTTAAGGAAAGTAACAATTACAAAAAGTGTATAACAGGCCAAACAGTATCCACATGTTTTGTTGTATACTCAAGAGGTCTCACAAGGCTGTATGTATAATGCCCTTTTTTCGACTACGAAATGTGCAACCTTCAGAAGGTGGGTGGTGAGGTTAGTAAAGGTCGGAGAGTGTTTTGAATGCCAGAACCAAGCTTAAAACAATTGATTTAATGAGAATCGATACCCATTTCGTTGTCATAAAAAAAGGCATTTTATACACAAGGAGCGTGTCCTAGAATTTTTTCACAGAGTGTCAAAATTGTCCCCAAGTGTCAGATTGTAAAAGGTAAATATTAATATATAAAAATATCCCTTTCTGAATTACTCATCTTTTTCAGAAATTTCAATATTTTATATATATTAAATATTCTTAAAGCTAGAGTAAATCTAATTACAATTTGAATTATATCCCTTTAAGTTGACGCAATTTTAAAAGGCTCTTTCATGAATGATAATTATCAAAGTTTATTTCAATTTCTTGAACTATTAAGATATACTTATTACTATAGCTCATTAATTTTAAAAACGGATTCTGAGGTCAGGTGTTCATATGAATAAATATGTTTAATTTGCAGAAATGTATACAATGGGGAATTAAACATATACTTGGTGAACATTACACAGCTTTATTATAGGATTTGTACAAAGTGGGAGTAAGAATCAATTTTTGAAATCTTTGTTCCAAAAAACGACTAAACCAAATGGCTCAAATTTAATATACCATTTGGATCATGTGGAATTAATATATGATAAATTTAATAAAATTTGCTCACATTTAGAGAACAACTTAATCCATATAATACATTTTTCAATAGATTTTTTTTTCAAAATTCTATTTTAAAAAATTCCACGGGCAACACCGGGCAATATAATCAGAAAAATATGATCAACTGTTTATTATTTTTGTTTCTTACAATCCCGTGTTGTGTGTATCCAATCCTATGTATCCTAGTTTAATGGATCCAATGTATTGAATAAATAACGTTTATTAAGATTGACAGCTTCAATAATTTTGAACTGGTTTTTAGACTGAATCAATGCACACTCAAAAATATTACACAATTAACAACGTAAAAAGTAAACAGTATTTATCACAAAGAACCAGAAAAAGAAAAAAATGCAACTTTAGAAATATACTTAAGTTTATCAAAAATTATCAAGAGCTAAGCATTCTCAAGCAAGCTAAGATTCTCTGCAACTGGTAACTTGTTCCGGTCTTGTTCAAATCAAGAAATAAGCCATTAAGCGACTTTATTCAACTATATAAATACTTTATTTAACCTTGGAATTATCATGTTTAAAGAGTGTCAGGTCGTCTTTACAGTCTCATCCTTTGTGGGTAGCCCTGTATATATACATTGCTTAAACAAGTTAATATTTTATGATATTAATTAAAGTTTCTAGTTTTCTCTGTCATAATAATACATTTCCTGTTTTTCTATTTGTAAGGATGTATATAAAAGAGCAAAAAATGGTCAGAATTAAAAAATAGATTCAAGATATATTTTACTAGATTGATCTTTTTAAGAAATGTTTCTCAAGTATTGAATTAAAAAAATCTAAAATCTTTCTTGTTTTTATGTTGAAACGTTGAATAGGAATTTTCAGCATGTCCTCATCATCACCTTGTTTCTGAATACATATTTTTTAACGAATATTTGAGAACATACAGTGGGTACCAGAATATTTGAGAACATACAGTGGGTACCAGAATATTTGAGAATATACAGTGGATACCAGAATATTTGAGAATATACAGTGGGTACCAGAATATTTGAGAATGTACAGTGGGTACCAGAATATTTGAGAATATACAGTGGGTACCAGAATATTTGAGAATATACAGTGGATACCAGAATATTTGAGAATATACAGTGGATACCAGAATATTTGAGAATATACAGTGGGTACCAGAAAAAAATGGAATGACAATCGCCTTCTTTCTCTTTTTTCATTCGTTATGAAATGTCACTAAGGGTTTTGTAGATTTTAGTCTCTATAGCGACATCTTTTTATTAAAAAGGAAAAAGAAGACAAGTATCCACGTGAGTTAACAAAACGACGATTTTTTTATAACAACCAATACCTCCTATTTTGTTAAAAAAATATCATTTTAAAAATGGTCGTTTCTTTTTCTCCTTTCGTCGTTAACGAAACGATCACTACTTTTTTTCAGAAAAATAAACACTGCCCATTCCTAAATACATACGTATATTATAGAAAGAATGGTTGAGGGGAAGGAAGTGATGAATCTTGAACTTCAAGTCTCAGCTCCTAAAGCAGTTGAGGTATGTATCTACTCACAGTAAGCTGCTTCAGCAGCACTAATCACTAGTTTCTGAGAGGACTAGAATAAGCAGCATCTTTTTGAAATGATTCTATTGTTCGCTGATCATTCGTGTTACAATGAGACAGAAGCTATCGACTTGAAAGGAATAGAGTCACAGCCACAAACTCAAATTTTCTAATCCTTGTAACTTTGTAACCTGATGGTGTAAACCTATGATATTTAAAATTTAGATTATTTGATCTAACAGAATTAAAGTTTTTGGCAAATAATCAATTCCTTTAAAGGGAGAGTGAAGGAAAAATGAAAGGTGGTATAGGCTGAAAGCTAATCATTTTAGCTCTTGATCGCGACCCATGAAAGTTTTATCTGATGTTCCTGTCTCGAGAAACTGATATGAAACTGTGTTAAAATTATACGAAAATTCATATATGTAAAATTTTGAAAATCTGAAACTTAAGTCACGTGACCAGAACTATCACCAATGGCAGAGCAGTATAGTGGTCACGTGTCTCCGCCTGTATCACGTGACCACTTTACTGCACTGCCATTGGTGGAATTTCTGGTCAAGTAAAACGGACGTAAAAATAACATTATAAATGAAATCTATTGAAAATAGAAACAACAAATATAAAAGTAAATCTAAATTACAATAAGCTTTCTCTGAGATATCATCGCTTTCAGATTGGTTGCTTATTTGCTGAATATGATCTGTTTAAACCTACTACTTTTATACAAAATTGTATATATATTAATTTTCGTATAGATTTGACACAGTTTTATATCAATTTCTCGAGATAGGAACATCAGATATGACTTTCATGGGTCGCGATCAAGAGCTTAAGTGATTAGCTTTCAGCCTATACCCCCTTTCATTTTTCCTTTACTGTCCCTTTAAGGCTACTTACATATTAAAAACCCCACATCACAGGGTGATTCCATAAAACCTATGAATACAGAAATTTCTTCCGTTTAGATTTTTTAAAATCTGATAATTTTTTGTCTGAGAATTTGTGAAATGATTAAAATTTGAAGGTATTCCCTGATACTAGTCAACTAGAGGTGTGCATGTACAATTTTTTCTATCTAAAGTTTGGCTGGGGACAGGCCAAACAGAGACAAATTTACATGGAGCTCTGCAAAAGTGTTCTTTTAGATAAAAATGTAATTTGAAAAAGTATTCAAGTTACAACTTTATTTTATCAAAATGAAACATCTATTTATATTTGAAGGAAGAAGATGAGAAGGATGAAGATGAGAAAAATGAGAATGACACTCTTCAAGGAGATCCTGAGGCTTGTGAAGATCAGATTATATCTCTAATAGGGAGAACTAGAACAAAACCTATGTTTAACGGGAAAAAATGATAATATACCTACAAATATAAATATTTACAAAGAGTGAAATTGGATCAAATATTTTGAGAAAATTTACTGCTTCCAAAATAAATTCATGAAATCATATCCGTGGTTTTGTTGCGTCATCAAGAAATTTTAATGTCCTTTCCAATGAATTTTAATGAGGGTAAATTCGTGTCTATTTTTCAGAAAAAAAGTTGGATTATTCTATTGTTTAGTATTTAAATATTCCAACATTTGATATTTCAAAAACTATTACAAAATGAATATGATTTAAAAATGTAAAGTTTGAAATCAGTATAAGGACATTTTATTTTTTCTCCATATTCCAACAAATGATAAAAGGTACGTGCATATAATCAAGGTTGATGCATGCACCTGACACTGATTAGTGTGAGAACAGGTTAAAGAAATAATAAACTTTGATAATAAGAAATTTATCATAAAGTTAAAACTTGTTCAGTTTTCCTTTTGTTTTACAATTACTCATTTTTGTTCAAACAAGTTAATATCTTCTATTGTTTATTCTAGTTTATGTTAGATCAGGGGTTCTTTATTATTGTTTATTTCTTGTTTAATCTAGCTCAGGTTTTCAACTGTTTACTTCTGGTTTAGACTAGTTCAGGTCTAAATGTTTATTTAAACTAGTTCAGGTTTCCACTGTTGTTTATTTCTGTTTTAAACTAGTTCAGGTTTCCTACTGTTGTTTATTTCTGTTTTAAACTAGTTAAGGTTTCCTACTGTTGTTTATTTATTGAAATCGTTCTTGTTTTAAATTTACCGGTCTCAATCTTATTAACGGCATTATCGGAAGATATTTTAAAAATCGAAGAAGGCGACAGCTGTCTAGGCCTTTTTTGCAAAAAAAAAGCCGGGGAAATTAGAAAACTTGCCGTTAGTTAACAAAACACTGCCAAGCCCTACTAAACACTTGTCTCAAACTCTAGTTTTCAAATACCTATATATTTACAACCTGATTGGGCTACCCTTAGCAAATCAGAGTTGTGACGAGTGAGGGAAGGCAACAATCTCCCCCGTACAGCTTCTGAATCTCTTTTACCTATTTGCGGCATTGTCATCCCCATTCTACTTAAACGGGAATAATTCGATAATTTTAAGCACGGTAGTCAATCTATAGTATCATTAACATTTGCATAATGATTTTTTTTTTACAATCAAAGATCGAGCTGGAAAAACGAAAACTTTGTGAATTTTTTTCTCAACAAATCTTGGAATGGCTGCCGCCTTAATTATAAATAGTCTCTATAAATATAATAAGTCAAAAAGAATATTCTTCATATAATGTTGATTCTAAAAACATTGCCCTTTGTTAATTTTCTCTCTAGTTATTGAGATATTTAAAGAAAACAAAACTCTGTTGTAACCTAATGATTTTTAAACTTTATTTTTACAAGCGCTATAGATTTGAAATACATATAGAACGAAGGATAAAGTCATTTTCTTTAATTGAGAATCGCTGAAGTTGCCTTTTCTCATTGTTTAATGCATTATTATGCAGGTGAATTAACCTTATATAAATAATGCGTTTTCGTCTGCAAAACGAATTTCATGTAAGTTTACGCGTTTACGTAAATTTCTTTAATTACAAGTTCAAGGGATTTGAAGCTGTACAAAATTTTAAATATGGAATTAAATACATTTTATGAAGAAAACTTTTTTATGTGTCTACTTATTACTAAAAGTTGTTCATAAAAAAGCGCCAGCCATTCCAAGATTTATTGATAAAAAAATCTATAAAAAAAGAACTATTTTCTCCCCGAACTTTGATTGTAAAAAAATCAAAAAAATATTTTGCAAATGTTAAGAATAGTTTAGGTTGACTAGCGTGCTTAAATTATCAAATTAGTCCCGTTTTAAGTAGAAATTGGCGATTGTAAATGGAAGATCATTCCCGGAAGACTGTTTGGAAGCCCTATGGGGGCACTGCCGCAATTAGGTAAAATGAGGTTCGGAAGCTGTGCGGGGGAGGTTGCCTTCCCTCCCTAGCTTGACAGTGGATATGATAATTTGTTTAGTAAACTAGTAAAAACTAGTTTTGGTTTTAAAGGAGAGACTGGAAGATGGCAGCTAGAGAGAATAGGAATTGTATTTCTGGTTTCTATCCCAGGAAAGTAGTTTTCAAACTTTACAAAAATTAAAGTTTTTAATCATCTAATCGGGTCTTCTTATTGTATTCTTAGTAAAACGTAAAAATGATTCTATTCTGAAAAAAATACTATGGGTGCCATGAAGGGTTTAGAATAAGAAAACCATTGTCTAATGATTTTTTAAATCTGGAATGTAAAATCCACAATATATTACGCGCATTTTTATTATTGAATGACAATAATCTTATATTTCAGGGTTAGCGCATATATTCATGTCCCCATTTGCGATGCCTAAAACAGATTTCTGGTGTGTGGAAACTGAGAGTTCTGGTGTACATGTTCATCAGGATAATCTAACTAAGGTTAGGCAAATAATAAAAGTAAAAGTGATAATTTGCAGATAATTATTTATCGATCGATCGATTAATTATTTACAATTACTTTATAGGGAAGTTAAGGGAATTTTACTTTACCATGGGTTCCCAACACCAATTTTGTAGACAAATTGTTGGAGGGAACCAGTGGTTAACTAAAAATTTTAATTTCCCGAAAAAGTAATTGTACACAATGTTATCGTCTTTTGAGATAAACATGTGCGAATTTTTTCCTGAAAACTTGGCAGAGCGGGTGGTTATTCCGATACATAACTGTACCAAGGGACGTAAAGTGACTTAACCTCCCTCTGTTGGTGGAATCACAGGTCGTTAATGTGGTCAAAAAGCGGTAAAATTTATTATGTCACACTAAAAAAACGAAGCCGACCACGCTTTTATATTGGTCTGTCGTGATAGTTTTTTGATTTTTGATCTTGATAATTTTGATTTGTAGATTTTGAGTGTGATTTTAATATTTTTTAGATGGGCTTGCATTACAGAGAAAAGTATTTGTGTATTTATGTTTCTTTAGACCTCTGTTAGTTTAGTTTTAGATTAATAAGTTTAATTGGACACACTATAACTGTTTTGCTTTCAGAATGAGTGTTTGGACTCCTGTACATCTTTTGAGGTATGAAAAACTTCAATATTTAGTTTAAACAAAGATCTATAAAAAAGTCTTAAAGTTTTTGGTTTGTATTTTGGAAACTCATGCAAATTTTTTATACAGATATTTATTTTGCAAGTAATTTGCCATAGCATGCCATCATTTTTTAAAACATAAACCTTTTCCCAATCTCTTTAGAAACTACGTTTTCATTTGGTTTAAACATTGGCTTAACTAGGACATTCTCCAAACGAACGATATAAATTTGTGTTCAGTATGATTTGAGTTTCTGGGAGGAAACTATAATATCAGATTATAACCTGGTTTGTGAGGTAGGATATCTAGAAATACGGTTACTAGGCTTTTATGGCGCTTCGCGTCCATCTTCTATTTTATTTGTGAATTTTCTCTTAGTATGCAATATAATAGAACAACAAATAAATTTCGCGGATTGTGAAATATTTTTTTTGTGGATTTTCAAAACTTGATGAAAACCAAATTTTGATGAAGGCAAATTTTTGAAATTTATATCATCCATAAACCTTCCTTCGGGGTCATGTCAGGTGCCACACAAAATTCGGGCCCATTTTGACGTTTATTGGATACAAACAGACAGAAACCCAACAGACAAGCAAAGTATATTTATAGATAATAAGTTTCAAAGATCGTCAACGTTTAATAGTTATTCGTCTGAAAAGTCCCGTATACGCTTAATCCAATATACAATGGATAAGATGTTTTCTTCTTTCTGACAGAAATTTTAAACTTTCAACGGTGGATTTTGTAGAAAGTGACAACAATTATGCAACGTAGAGAAGTAATTAAACTACAAAACCTAAGTTGAATCACATCTGTTGGGAGCCTATTCAAATTGGAGAGAATTGGTTCAACTTAATCTACGTAGTTCAACGTTTTCTTGTTTTTCATTATGTTTTGTTTAAGAATGAACACTAACATGTCGGAAACTTGTTCCATATCGTATAGAAACACGAAAACATCTCCATAATCATCTCTCAATAAATGGTTTAATGATAAAAATAATTTTCATTTTAGGCTAGTCCCTTGTCAACCATGGCCAAAATGATGTTTTTCGGAGGCTTTGGAATTGGCACATTTGTCGCCGGTATGGTTTCAGATACTTTTGGGAGACAGGTACTTTTTCTTTTTTGGTTAAAACCATTAATAAGTTGAAATTAATCTTTTTTGGTATTATGAGTATACCTTATAAATGTGAATTATTTACCAAATAAAATATTCAATTTTCAAAGAAGCCTGTTTTTATTATATAATTATAGGGTTTTTCCAAATAAAAAAACAAAAAAACAATTTGCACTTGATTTTAATCTCATGTTCATAAATTTTGTTTAGAAAGCTATTTGTGGGTTTACGGCACTACTCCTTGTTAGTGGAGTTGCGTGTAGTTTTATGCCATCATATACTACATTTGTGGGACTCTGGATAGGTAAAGCGTAAAAACAAAAATTTCTATGAAAATTAAAAATTTAATAATAAATAGCTATTTTTTTCCAGTACCTCATACTTTAAAATTTGATGTTTTTAAAACACGAATAATGCAGCTTTTTGTTTTAGTTGTTGGTATTGCTGCTATAGCAAACTTTACAGTAGCATTTGTTTGGGTCATGGAGCTAGCATCAGGTACAGTAGAGATTAAACATAGAGCTAGCATCAGGTAGAGTAGAGATTAAACATAGAGCCAGCATCAGGCAGAGTAGAGATTAGAGATTAAACATGGAGCTAGCATCATGTAGAGTAGAGATTAAACATGGGGCTATCATCATGTAGAGTAGAGATTAAACATAAAGCTAGCATTAGGTAGAGTAGAAATTTAACATGGAGCTAGCGTCAGGTAGAGTAGAGATGAAACAGAGAGGTAGCATCAGGTAGAGTAGAGATTAAACATGGAGCTAGCATCAAGTAGTGTAGAGATTAAACATAGAGCTAGCATCAGGTAGAGTAGAGATTAGACATAGAGCTAGCATCAGGTAGAGTAGAGATTAAACATAGAGCTAGCATTAGGTAGAGTAGAGATTAAACATGTAGCTAGCATCAGGTAGAGTAGAGATTAGACATAGAGCTAGCATCAGGTAGAGTAGAGATTAAACATGGAGCTAGCATCAAGTAGAGTAGAGATTAAACATAGAGCCAGCATCAGGCAGAGTAGAGATTAGAGATTAAACATGGTGCTAGCATCATGTAGAGTAGAGATTAAACATGGGGCTATCATCATGTAGAGTAGAGATTAAACATAAAGCTAGCATTAGGTAGAGTAGAAATTTAACATGGAGCTAGCATCAGGTAGAGTAGAGAATAAACATGGAGCTAGCATCAAGTAGAGTAGAGATTAAACATAGATCTAGCATCAGGCAGAGTAGAGATTAAAGATTAAACATGGAGCTAGCATCAAGTAGAGTAGAGATTAAACATAGAGATAATGGATATCAACATTAAACAGCGGTACTGAAGGTTTAGTTCAGCTCTCATCCAATTAATTTAGTGTCTGGTGATCACTGGTTGACTTGAGTATATAACTTGATTATATTTTAGGAAAATGGAAGATCCTACTGGGAATGGGAATGCAGTTTACCTGGCCCATCAGTAGAATATTTATCCTAGTCTGCGCATGGACATTGAGAAACTGGCGCAGAATGATGCAGGTCAACCTTTACCTGGCTTAATAGGATAAATCTGCAGATTATGAAAGTAGTGTGAATATATTGTGCGTAAAGTGTGTCTACTAAATCTACATTTTCCATTAATTCCAAGTTTTATGCACACGTCAACGACAATTTATTTTTTTATTTTTTGTTTGAAAATATTTATTGTTTATATATTTGAATTATCAAATTACTGGATTGCATATTTGTTTTATATATGTTTTACATATTGTAGAATGTAGTGTATGTGTATGTAAATATAAAACTTAAGCAACACTTTAAAACATTACTATTAGTATATTTCAGGTTAAATATATATGTGTGAATACACATATTACACATGAGGATATATATTTCTGTTTTGATTGTATAATAAATTGACTATTATACATTAATGTATTGACATAAAGATCTATTAATACATATATATACTTAAGACAATAAATATAATTGTATGTATATTGTAGGCTGTATCTGCTCCTCTGTGTCTAGCTCCTGATCTCCTATATTGTATATATATTGTAGGCTGTATCTGCTCCTCTGTGTCTAGCTCCTGATCTCCTATATTTCCTTCCTATATATATTGTAGGCTGTATCTGCTCCTCTGTGTCTAGCTCCTGTTCTCCTATATTTCCTTCCTATATATTGTAGGCTGTGTCTGCTCCTCTGTATCTGCTCCTCTGTGTCTAGCTCCTGTTCTCCTATATTTCCTTCCTATATATATTGTAGGCTGTATCTGCTCCTCTGTGTCTAGCTCCTGTTCTCCTATATTTCCTTCCTGAAAGTCCAAGATGGTTGGTTGCTAAGGGTAGAATATCAGAAGCTAAAGTTCTCATAGGTAATCGGCCTATTTAAAAAAAATTCTTAAAAGATTTCTTTTACCCGAAAGGATCTAAATGTTTGCAAAGTAAAATTCTAATATTAACATAAATCTGCTATCCGAAAATGAAAGAAAAATAATAACTACAATATTGGCCAGAATTTCTTCCCTCCGTTCAATATAAATTGGTTTGTATCCCAAATCCAAAAAATCAGAAGAGCGTGAACCCGGCCCTACTCTAATCAAACTTTTCGGAATAGGTTTTTTTTTTCAGTGCACAAAGAACTTTTTTTAAAGAATTTTATATCATTTTGATACGCACCGAAAAGTGAGAAAAAAATGACATTTTCGGGTGACAAATACACAATCTTCACTAAATTTTCATAATATTTAGCTGATGCTATAAAGACGAATAAAAGAAAAGCTGATCCAGAAATGATTTCATTGAAACGACCCCAGCAACAGAGAAGGTGAATATATTATTTGATCATTGTAAATTTTGCAATGTGTAAGGAGCATGGTGAAATATAATCACAGTGAGACAGGTTTCAGTCCTGATTTCACAGATACTTGAAAGTTCAATATGATCGCAAACGACTATTTTAGGACAAACATATAAAATAACAACCCTTATTATTTTTGCCGTATTTGGGGGTGTCATACAGAACAGCTTGATATTTTATCTAAAACGACTCTGAACGGCAGTTTTGCGCTAAGGTAACAAAATTTTAGATTACAAGGAGAAAAAAAAAATTTATGCTCACATCTGTATTTTATCAAACAAATGATGAAACTAATTAAATTTGTAAATCTTTTTTAATGCAGAATTGTTAATGTAATATCTCAGAAGTGCCTGATGTTATATGATCAGACCATAATCTTTAGTTTCTCCAGAAATCCAGGATCATATATCCGGCCAAACCTTCCAAAGAATGCCAGAACTTGTTAAAATATTAATGAGTTGACTTTAGATCCGTGGTTTAGGGGATAAATTTCCAGGTTTAAATGAAAACTTCTAGGTTTAGATGATACACATCTAGGTTCAGATAATAAATTTCTAGGTTTAGATGATAAACTTCTTGGTTTACATGACTGACTACATCAAGCCATACCTGCCAAGAATCCCATAGATTTATTATCTGAACCTTGGAGTTTATCACCAAAACAATGCAATTTTAATTCAAACCATGGTAGTTTATCCTCTAAAGCACGAAGTTTATCACCTGAACCTTTTACTTAAACATCCTAACTATGGAATATTTCATCTACATCTAGAAGTTTATTTTATAACCCTTGGAGTATATTATCTGAATTGGTGGGTTTATCATCTAAACTTTGGAGTTTAAACCTTAAAGTTTTTTATTTAAACCTTTATGATCTAAACCATAGAGTTAATCATCTAAACCATGGACTTTATCGCTTGAACCTTTGACTTAAACATCCTAACCATGGAATATTTCATTTATATCTAGAAGTTTATTATATCATCTGAATTGTTGGGTTCAGTACCTAATCTTTGGATGATATATTCTGAACCATAAAGTTTTTTATTTAAACCTTAAAGATTATCAATTTTACTTTGGAGTTTTGCAGTTATATCTCAGTTTTGGTCACCAGTACCTTAGAGTTTTTCACTCAACCCAACGAGTTTTTTCGTTTGAACCATGGTTTTTTTTTATCTAAACCATGGTGCAATCATTTAAACCAAAAATTTTTTTATCTAAACCATACAGTTTTTTATCATTTCAATGGAGTTTCTATCACTCATCTAAAGTTTTTAACAAGTTGTAACTTTCTCTGGAAGGTTGAGATATATCATCCTGGATATCTGGAGAAACTAAAGAACACTGTCTGCTCAATAACATCAACCACTTCTGAGATATTATATAAGAATTCTGCATTAAAACAGAGAAATATATTTAATTTTTTCCCTCATTTGTTTTATAAAATACAAAGAACTGTTAATTGATTTTCTTCTTCTTGTAATCTAAATTTTGTAAGCTTAGCGTAGAAACTGCCATTTAAAAGTGTTTTAGACGAAACATCGTTTTATATGATCCCCAAAAATACAGCAGAAATAATAGGGGTCGTACTTATACATATTTGTTTTAAAATATTCATGCGAGAATATATTGAATTTTCAAGTATCTGTGAAATCAGGACTGAAACCTGAATTTCTCAGGATTCCCTCGGTCCCGGATAGAATTAATTTCATCTCTGAGCACAAACTTAATGTCTTGAACGGGTTTAGCCTCACTGTGTAATATAATATTATGCCAAAAACATGATAAAACATTTTAGGATAAAATTTGCTGAATTACAACAATTATTAATTCTAAATGTTTTGTTTGGCATTAACTTAAACCGAAAAGGTTTTTGTCATGAAAATCTAGGCTTAGGTCATATAATTTGGTTAAGTTCGATTTTTCGATTTAGTTTCTGTGAAAAAAATTTGAACCCGTTGTTCTGTGTACAGGAATGGAACTGTTGTGGATATCCTAAGGTTTCCTGTACTCCGACAGAAGACCCTGATCATGTATTTCAACTGGTTCGCTAGCTCCTTTATGATGTACGGTCTCTCTCTCAACTGGCAGAATTTGACAGGTTCAGAATGTATTTTTAGTCATAAAATCATTAATTATAAGTTTTCTGTATTGATAATATCATTAATTATAAAAAATCATCTTTAGTTTTCTTTGCAGTTAATAATATCCTTCATTTGTAGTCTTTTGTCATTTATTCTTTTTTGTATCCATTATGATATAAATTTTTGGTTTTCATATTTCAATTAAATTTAGACATTCTTAAAACTTCTGACTCATATATTTATATACGTACATAGCTCTACATGAAACAATTGTTATTTGCTTTAATTCAATTAAACCCACTTAAGGACAGAACGTTTTTTACTTCGTCAACGACTTAGAAAAAAAAAACAAAAAATGATCTTTTTTGAAAAGGACCGTTTTTTAATTAAAAAAGAAATAGGAAATAAAAAAATATTAATGCATTTTGTTAATGAGTGTAGATCGTTTTTGATTTTTAACGATTCTTAACGGCCACACCTTCGTTAACTATTATTAATACATACTTTAGTTGGTAATCGTTAACGACGTACCTTTAACCGACCTTATAGGGTATCCAAACGAATTATCGAGTATTTTTACCCTCCCGGCTCGTTATTATTGAATTAAATCGACTCCACACGTATTTTAATATATATGTATGTATATATAATACAATTTTAGGTTGGGAAACCCTTAGATCATTTTTCTCAACATCTCTTACTTAAAAATATTTAAAAATCACAACTTTCAGAAATTAAAACGATAGGTTTTTCAGTAAAACTAACATATCGTCTTTTCGGTTTTTAAAAGTTCAGAACCAACAGTTTGTTAGTTTCATCCATTCCTTTTTCTCTGAAACGAAGGTTCATTAGCTTTAGAAAATCAAAAACGAAAAGAAAAACGTTCGTTTTTCTTTTTTAAAAACGATTAACAGCCCTACACCCACTCCCTTTTCTGCCAAGGTATATTGTTAAAAATATTATTTGTTTTTGTTATTCTGATTGTAGGTGATCTATTCCTGACTTTCCTGATAGCGAGTTGCCTGGATTTTCCTGCAAAAGCATTCTCAGTGATTTCTCTCCTGTTTTATGGAAGGAAACTTCCATATATTGGACTTACATTCATCGCAGGAACCAAACATTTTCTCATTCACATACTTTTCATTATTTTCACAGCCAACACAATCCATCAAACTTTTTTTTTGTTTTGAATCATTTTATGTAACTTAGATTTTAAGGCTCCTTAAGAGGCTATACTGATTATCATACTTCTTTTTTACTGTGCACATTTTTAACTCTGAGCAATTTTAAGCAATTTTTTCTAATTTTCATAAGAGATTAATACACAATTATTTTAAAAGAGTTGCAGTATTCTCTTTATTTAATTTTTCTCACTTTTGAAAATCACCCCCCCCCCCTCCTACCGGGATATAGTGCCTCGAAATACAAATTCTTCAAAATGCTTGCTTTTGATCATTTCTTCTCCCAGTATGAACATTTTGCATTTGTAAATAAAAGCAGACTTTAGAAAAACTCCGAATAATTAGTCTTTCGTAATATTCCTCTGTTTTTCGCTATGTTTTCTGATAATTTTTGTAGTTTTATATTCGTTAAAAATGTGAGCGCTGGTTTAAGGTATTCTGTTTGTAATTATTCTGGTAGTTCCTAAAGCTGGGAATGATACTATAATTCTAGTTCTATCTCTAATTGCCAGGTCAGTCTTTCTTAAAAACTTTGTTTTAAACAAACGACGTTTTCAAACAAAAAAGAAACTGTTCACATTTTGAAAGTGAAGCTTCTGCATTAGAAATTGGGGTCAAGGGCCGGTTAGCCTTAGCCTGTCAAATGTAAATTTATTATAATAAATTATTCAGCAAAAAAACAAGTGTAAAGTTTCAATCATGATTGTAAAGGAAAATGTTGTACATGCAGTTTTCTGTAATTCTGTCAAAGGAATTGAGTTTTTGCCACAAACATAAATTTTCTAATTCCAAAATCTTTGCAAAATGATGACGTAAGCCTCTGATATTTCAAACTATGAATTCTGTTAGACAGAATAATCTTAGTTTGAAATATCATAAGTTTACACTATCAGGTTTAAAAGATATAGAAAATTGAAAATTTGAGTTCCTTTGTTCCTCTTTATCCTTTGTATTTATTTTATTCTCTAGTTTCTGTGTCTCCTCTTCCTTCGGTATGCTCTGGATGTGGATGAGTGAGTTGATGCCGACTACTGTACGCAATGCTGGTGTAGGATCTGCATCTATGATCGCTAGAGTTGGAGGGGTAGGTTATACATTAATTATATCAGAAGGGGTAGGTTATAGATTAATTATATTAGAAGGAGTAGGTTATACATTAATTATATAAGAAGGGGTATGTTATAGATTAATTATATAAGAAGGGGTAGGTTATACATTAATTATATAAGAAAGGGAAGGTTATATATTAATTAAATAAGAAGGGGTAGGTTATAGATTAATCATAAAAGAAGGGGTAGGTTATAGATTAACCATATAAGAAGGGGTAGGTTATAGATTAATTATATAAGAAGGGGTAGGTTATAGATTAATTATATAAGAAGGAGTAGGTTATAGATTAATCATATAAGAAGGGGTAGGTTATAGATTAATTATATAAGAAGGGTTGGTTATGTATTAATTATATAAGATTGAGTAGGCTATAGATTAATTATATAAGAAGGGGTAGGTTATAGATTAAATATATAAGAAGGAGTAGGTTATAGATTAATCATATAAGAAGGGGTAGGTTATAGATTAATTATATAAGAAGGGTTGGTTATAGATTAAGTATATAAGATTGAGTAGGTTATAGATTAATTATATAAGAAGGGGTAGGTTATAGATTATTTATATAAGGAGAGTATCTATAAACAGTAAATTTGAAAAAAGTATACCGTTCATTCTACTCCTCAGGGACATCTTTGAGTCATACGATAAGCTTCCTTGTAGTAAATAAATCATTCAATTGGAGTGAAGGGTCTCTAACGGTAAGATAAATAAGGGTATGCCACCAGATTTTGAAAAATACACAACAAAACACTTCATAGGTACCCAATACTAAATACTCGATGTATGTTACATGAAGTTTTTTTTAGGTAAAGGTAGTATATAGCTACTATTAAATACATCTACTAAAAATAAGTTATTTTTAGGTACTAGCTACTACAGTGGGTAAACTAGCTGATGTATCACCAAGTATTCCTATAAGCATGTTTGCATTTTCTGCTTTGCTATCTGCGTCTTTATCCATTCTTCTTCCAGAAACACAGGTAAATACATATATTCCAGGAATCCTGGGATTTCCAAATTGTGGTCAGCTTTTAAAATTAAACAAGAAAAATTTTTTAGTTCCAATTTGTTAAAACATTATTTGAAGTTCTTGACATAACACATACATGTTCTAATTGTTGTACTGTTGTACTGTTGTACTGTTGTACTGTTGTACTGTTGTACTGTTGTACGTTGGACATAATGTTTTACGTAGAATTATTTTTTAACACTCTGTTTTCAGGGTAAACCTCTACCCGACACACCAGAAGAGAGTGAGAAGGACAAACTTCTCGGGATAAAGGATGGATTTAGGACAATGTTCTCACATGTTAGAACAAGGAGAGCAGAGTAAACTCAGATTCAGCCTCTCTCACACAACTAAGATACAATTATATCACATTTGGAACAGATTAAATCTTGAAGAAATATATTTAACTATTTAATATTTTGATTCTTCCTAGTTGAGTTTTTCAATTTCTTTTTGTAAGTGCATTAAAAAATATACCAATAAAGATACGATTCCATCAGTTAGTCATGGTTTGCACAAAATGTTGCTCTAGGTAACAATTCTGTAATAGCTGTTAAACATTCAAATAAGAAAAACTGCAACAAAAAGGTTAAAATTTGAAAAGAAATACTTTCTGGACAAAAAATAGATTAAGGAACTTTTTTATCCTATCCAGCTTCTCAGGCATGCTACCTCTAAAATCATCCTTTTTGGCCCAGTTCAGACAACGAAAGTTATGAATGAAATTTGACAGAAAATTTTTGAAGAATATTTAAAAGTTTCCCGACCTTTCGATCTTGTCTTTTTCGGTATATTCAGTGGGAAAAGGGGTTAAACGGACAACAGGCAAATTAAAATTTCAAAAAGTGTTATTCGAAATTTGAAGTTTGAACCAGGTTTTATTGGTTTCAAGAATGTGAACAAATTCACAAAATCTTGTTTCATCACATATCTGAATTCATTTGTTAAATTATTTCAAATAAGCGAAATTTACTAAGTTGGAATTTTTAAAAGAAAATTTAAATTTTGTTGAATCAAATCTGACATTTTTGTTGAATCAATTTTAATAAATGGCATTATAATTGTTTTGTTTATAAAGTCTCTTTCCGTATTATGGGCTAATATTTATTTTATAAACGTTAAACATTTTTATACTTGTATAAAACTTCGAACATTTATCCTAAAAAGCAAATCAATGCAGTTTTATTTTTTGTAAATATTACAGATGCCTTAAAGAATGTAAATATTACAGATACTGTAAAAAATCTAAATATTACAGATACTGTAAAAAATGTAAATATTACAGATATTGTAAAAAATGTAAATATAACAGATACCGTAAAAAATGTAAATATTACAGATACTGTAAAAAATGTAAAGGGACTGTATTTGTAATTCTAAGTGGCTGTACCTTTTAAACTCTTTACTGGCCAACTCTACAACCTGTTTTACATCTGAAATAAACTAATGTGTACAGTTAGCCGTATTGAGTTCACACTATACTCTAGCGTACTTTCTACAGTTTTCCGGTAAGTTGAACACCATTTTAGAAATGAACACAAGGATTACTTTTTCCTTCAGGATCGGTCAATGGTTTGCAGGGTACCGTTGTGAATCAGGCATGCACCCCTGTAAATGAAGGGTCACTTGAAATTACGCCTACAGTCCCTTTCAGAAATTTGTCTCCATTCATTGTTAAAAGTTAAATTTTTTGTATAATCTACCATGAAGAAATAAATATTTAAATATTTTGATTTATTCTGATTTGTCCCGGGTAGTTAACTAGTTGGTCGGTAATTGTTAAGTGAGTTTTTAAGTGTGATTCAAATATGACTCTCGTTTGAACAAAACATGTTTGCAGTGAAAGATTTAAAACATGATAAAGTTTAACTTTAATACAAGGAAGAATAGTTTTTAGGTGATATTAGGAGATATTGCAGTTCACTAGGTTTAGGTTTTAAAATTTTAAGTATTTCAATTTGTTGAAAAAAGAATAATTTTCTTCAATGGGATTTTCAAGAAATGAATAAAATGATATGCCATTGTCTTTTTAATCTTTAAAAGCTTCCAATTTAGAAATAAAAAAATATTAAATCCATTTGCAATTCCAATATCGTCCTTAATAGTATCTCCGTTTTCAATCAAAACTCTGGAATTTCCGACTTGCTTTCCAAGTTTCCCAATATTTCCCTCACCGTGTTCCAAGTATTTTGTGAATATTCTAAAACATGTTATTTATATTCCTGTAATAATGAGTTTTTGCGGCTTTGTAGAAAGTACAAGGAACAGGGGCGTAGTGGAGGTTAAGGCTGGAGGGCACACTTTTGGCGCGCGTCAGCGTGCCGAAATTTTTTTTTGTGCACCTCCCTAACGGTTGATGTGCACCCCCCCTTATAAAACCCGTATTAGGGAAAAAATTAAAGCTTAAAATCTATATTAATCTACCCTGACCATAATTACCAACAATACCATTATAAAATTGAGTAGTAAAAGAACAAAAATCTTTGATTTGAGGTAAAAAACAGCATTTTTTAAATGTTGAAGTGTTGGCTCAGTGCTCATAATATTCCAAATTATTATAATATTGATGGCTTGTTTTTGTGTTTACAAAAAAATACTTCCAACAGCTTTAAAATGTATACTTTTAACAGGTTGTTAAACCCTAACCTGGATGAGTTATTTATTGAGACATGTGCGCGAAAAATTTCTGTTCTTTTAGCGTCTTTTCATGTATTTCTTAGTCTGTCTGAGTCTCTGGCTTAGTCATATTCACTATGTATACATAAAGTCCCCTATTACAGTCTACACCAGTTTTTTGAAATTAGTTTTCTAGTCATATTTGTCCACTATATAGTCCCTTTATCGAAGGTCTGTGCAGTCCTATCTATTTCTCGTCTGTCCATTATCCATAATAGTCTTTCTGATCGAAGTCCCTCTGTCATTGTTTTCCTCTTATAGTCTTCAAAAGTCATGGTAGTCCAATATAATCCTTATTATATTTCTTATTTATATTCTTCTTAGATTGTCAGGTTTTGTGAAACCTTTAATGGTATACGTATTGTAATACTCAGGAGAAGAAACATATATACATTTTTAGAGGATAAATTACGGCTGACTTTCTTTAAGTGAAAAAGGAGAAAATAGTTAGAAATTCTATTAGAAATGTTGCGCGAAGCGCCAAAGAAAAATTTTGGTATTTTTTCTTAATTGACAAAATTTGATTAAAGATGATTCACAAATTACAATCATGATCATGCTAGAGCCAAGTAAGGGGGGGGGGTGTGAGAGGGGGGTTAAATATGCTGAGAGGGGGTCAAAACTCGGTTCGCCCCCCCCCTCACTAGTTGCGCCACTGTAGATTACACTGGAGACAGATTATTTAAAGCTTAATAAAACTCAATCATCTTGCTCTGAGAGACTGAAATGGATTTTAAATGAAACCCTACGAAAAAAATATTGTAAATAAGATTAAGGTACAAGAAAGAATTTGAGAAATATCATAAAATGGACAAATTGTGACATTGTCAATTGATAAGAAAAGTAAAAAATCTGAATATATATGTAATTTTACTGTTTAATAAATTAGAGCCTGCCTCTGGCTCTAGGGGGGGCACAGGGGGTACCGACCCCCACTGCGCCCCTGGGAAGTTACAATATAGGATTAAATATGACATTTATATTTTAATTTGGATACAAAGTTTTGCGTGATAATATATGGTAAACCTCTACATACGTACAGGACTAGACTTTAATGACGACCTGAAATTCTTACAGTCCCTTTAAGTCGAAATTATACTACGATTAAGTCTGTGGGTCCCTATTTACATGGTAAACCTCTACATACGTACAGGACGAGACTTTAATGACGACCTGAAATACGAGACTTTAATGACGATCTGAAATACGAGACTTTAATGACGACCTGAAATACGAGACTTTAATGACGACCTGAAATACGAGACTTTAATGACGACCTGAAATACGAGACTTTAATGACGACCTGAAATTCTTGAAAGATCTATGGCATACTTTTTTATTTGGTTTTAAATCAGTTGTAAAAAGATAGAAATATGTGTTGGGTGCCATGCGCAGGAAACTATAGAAAAAGTCTTATCTTGTGTGTGTGGGTAACCCTGTATATAATTCATTAAAAACACGATTCATGAACTTTGTTTATTTCACAGCTAAAAGATCACAGCAGAGCACTACAAGATTATAGATTAAAAATAAATAGAAATTAAAACTAGATTGGTTTGTTACGGCCGGTGTTGTGACTACATGATTTCAGTTCATGAAAATCCAATTTCTTACGTCTACTTCATGCAGGTTTCTAACTTGTTAAACTTCTTTGTTCGCTTTTTCTTTTTACTTTTTTTCTTCGGACCATAGTTTTTCACCATGCATCTCCATCGTATTTTTTCTTTGGTTTTTTTACTGCTACAGCTTTGGTTTTCATGTTTTTTTTATAAAATGTTCGCGAGGTTTCGTTGAAATGAGATAATACTGGTATTCAGATACTTGATTTCTCGGAGTTATATACGGAGGTATACATCGGAGGGCAGGCTAAGAATAAGGCGTGATCGGCAAAAATAGAAGGTGGTTGGAGGACAATATTGATGATGGTTGGAGGACAATATTGATGATGGTTGGAGGACAATATTGATGATGATTGGGGGACAATATTGATGCTGGTTGGAGGACAATATTGATGGTGGTTGGAGGACAATATTGATGCTGGTTGGAGAACAATATTGATGATGGTTGGAGGACAATATTGATGATGGTTGGAGGACAATATTGTTGATTGTTGGAGGATAATATTGATGATAATTTTGAGAAGGTTGCTGATGATAGTTGGAGGATGTTATTGAGGATGATTGGAGGGAGCATTGTAGAATGGGTAATTAAAGTTGTGATAATATAACTATATAATAAGGGTCTTGATACCCTGGATAATCAGATAAAGTTTGAGGCTCGGAAACCTCAGCAGTCTTTAGAATACATTTTACTCCAGATTTCTCCATTTCGTTTCGTTTCGTTTACAGTCGCTTACTGATTCAGGAATTCCAGGCACTTTGAATTTATAGCCGTGAGATGGATGGGTGTAAGTAGAAATATTGAAATACGGGTACCTTAATAGATAGATAGATAATCAGCGATCATTTCAAGCATTCCGGGGGCATTCCGGGAATATATCGCTTGAACTGCAGCAGTAGACTGGGATACCATTCTCAATATTCTAGAATAATCTAGATCATTACATAAAGCGATTAAATAATGCTCAAATTACATTTGTCAAAATGACTAATCCCCAATGGAAATTATATCAAATGACTAGAAAGACTAAAAAGAAGAGAGATTTTAATAGTTTTTAAGGTAGGTAAAATATAAGAAGATTTATAACCTTTCACTGCGGCTGGCATTCACCTGTAATTGGTAAAACCATAGAGAATAGAATATATAGAGAGGAATTAAAAGAATCTCTCGGTATGAATTTTTGCAGTCCCTTTCAGCCTGAAAGGGAGTTCAAAGTGTACAAATCATGTAAATGTTCACAAATTGTATGCAGTAGAGTACATTAATACAGTATGTTCCCTAGACTATTCATTTCAATTTCGAATTTTTTAAACTGTTAAATAAACTTTA